AACTTATTGCTTAACTCTCATTGTGCTCAAGGAAACCAAAGCTCAGAGTCAAGTGACTTGTTTAGGATTCCACAGCTAGTTAGGGGCGGCTATTTACAACCAAATCAGTTTGATTCCAGATCCTGAGCTCTTAGCCACTTTCAAATACTAGCACATGTCCTGTATTTCATCTCCATTTTCAGTTGGGAAAAGGAATCTGAGTAATCATCAAAAGACTAGGTACCCCGGGGAGGTGAATAAAGGAGGGGGTGGGACTGAGCAGGCCCTCCCAGTGCCCTAAAAGAGGACTGTCTCCTGTAAGCTGTCCCTCTGTCTCCAGTGTTATTTTCACCTCGGCTCATACAAAGAATATAATACAAAGAAGGCAGACAAGGGAGAGTCAATGTGTGCAGATTGAGCAGGCCAAAGTTTGGACTTTTCATGGTGTAAGATGCAGGTATGTGTTCTGAGAGTTCTGGGTTTCAACTTCATCACAAAGCAGGATTTTATGAAAGGCAGAGACAGAGAGGACAAGGAAGAAAAGAAGAAACAATAGATGGAAGGAAATCAGGCAATTACGTATTGGTGTTTCACAACTGTGACTCAGATTCACGGAGTCAAGAGGTTTCTTAACTTTTTACTAAAAAATAACTTTTTCTAATGATGAAAATGATGTGTTAATTTTTGAAAATTTTAGAAAACATAGATAAGCAATCAGGATACAAAACCATTTGTGCATCTATGCACACATAGTAAGCTTTACAACATAACATCATTTTGTACATAACAGGTTGTAATTATTTTTTTAATTGACAATAATCGTATGCCATTACATGTTCTACTACATCATTTTAATAGCTCAAGAGTATCCTTTTTATAGCTGTATTAAAGCTTTTGGACATTTAGGTTGTTGTCAATCTTTTGCTATATTATACATGCTATATTATAAATTTTTACACCCATCATTGATTATAGCCTTAAAATAAATTGCTATCAGCACAATGACTGGATCGAAGGATACACACAAATTTTAAGGTTTTAACATACACTGTTGTCAGAAATTGCTTCTCAGAAATGTTATGCTCATCTGCTATCCTTCCAACCCCAGTAGTGTGGGAAAGTGCCCAGCTTATTACTGTACTCTTTGCAATGCTGGAGAGGCATAGCCAGAACATGCATGAGTTTTGGAATCAGATAGCTCTACCACTTGCTAACTGTGTGGCCTTAGGCAAGTTACTTTAACCACTCTGGTTCTCATCTGGGTTGCTGTGGGGATCATATAAGATCATGTATGCAGTGTTAAAGAGGTGCCTGCTCCATAGTAAGTGCTCAATAAGCAAAAGCTGTTCTAGATTTAGTCATTCATGCCCACCTCTGATGTATTCTTTCTTGGGAGTGGACACACACTGAGCAAAGATTTCTGAAATCTCTTTAAGAGCCAGTATCTACTCCATCCTCCACATCAGCCCTGAAATACTGCTGCTATTTCTGTTTTTTTTTTTTTCATTTTTCCTTAAGGTTATTTTTGATTGTGCCATTTTTTTTTTTTTTTTTTTTTTTTTTTAATACTCAGTCCCTTTCTCTCCTTGATTCTCAGCCCTAATGGCAGGGAGGCTCCTTGGGCCTCTACATTATCATTTTGTTTTTCCCTAGGTTGATTACCTGGAGTTGCAAACTAGGAAAGAAGCCTATGAATGTGAGCCCAACCTGGGTTTACAAATCAAAGCAATGATTAATAATAATAACAGCAACAGCTATCACTTATTGAGTATCTGTTATGTACCAGGCACTGTGCTAAGCTCTTTATGTGGATTGTCTCATTTAACCTCACAAAAGTCCTGAGAGGATCTAAGATGAGAGGTAACATGCTCAGTGTTCACACAGCTAGGAAGTGGCAGAACTGAGATGGGACTCCAACCCTGTCTGACTTTCAAAGTCTATGCTCTTAACCACTTTTCATGCTGCTCTCTTCAGTATAGAAAGATTTAGTGTCAAGGAGTGTGTGTGTGTGTGTGTGTGTGTGTGTGTGTGCGCGCGCGCGCATGTGTTTTGAGAGTGTGGACATGTTTGTGTGTACATGTGTGTGTAAGCATGCATGTGTACATGTGAGTGCATGCACACATGCATTCATTAGAATAATATTTAGTGAGGGCCAGACACTATGCGAGTTCCTGAGGATATGATAGTAAACAAAAGAGAAATGATCTGTCCTCACAAAGCTTATTGGCTGGTGGGGAAAATAAGTGGTGAATGAATAAATGAACAAATGAATAAATGAAGAAATTACAGGTTAGGATTACTGTTTTGAAGGAAATAGCACAGTCACAGAGTACAGCAGGATAACAAATTTTAGATTTGAAGTTCAGAGAGAGCCTTTCTTAGGGGGTGACTTGTCTGGAATAAGGCAGGACCACTATGCAAGAATAGAGAGAGAGAAAGAGAGAGAGAGGGAGAGAGAGGGAGGAGAGAGAGAGTTGTTGGGGGTGGAAAGCAAACTCTTTAGTGCCTAGAGATGCTTTCTAGAGGGTTCTGGGGGCTCTCAGAGCTGTATATAGGTAGATGTGAGTGCTGTCTCTGGGTTTCCTTAGGAGGAGGGGAATGGCCTGTGAGTTTCACCCAAAAAGGGTGAAGTGGGAAATGGAGACTAGGACTCTGTGAACAGGGGCTCACTTGGGACCAGAGGCCTCAGTAATTCTAGAGGCATGGATGGGAGTAAGAGGCAGGGTCTAGATGCTCAGAGTTGGAGTATGTGGAATTGGAAGCATTTTGTATTTCTAGTAAAAAAAAAATTCCAACTTGCCCCAAGTGTCCCAGAACCAAAGTATTCCTTACCTGTTCTCCATTCATTAATGTAGTTTGGTATTTTAGAAGGCAGCAGAGTCTTCCTAAGGCTTCTTATCTCATCTCCAGAGGTAACTAAGAGGAAAAACTTGGATAAGAAAGTGTCACCAGGGTCATTTCTAGCAGCAGCAGCAGCAACCTTAAGCCAGTCCAGGCTGTGGTTTAGGATACCTTCATTGGTTTATGGGGTAGATGGTTGTGGTTGTGGGAGCAGTAGGCCTAAGGAGCCTGAGAAAGGGTGACCTACCAAAATTCAGGGTCTCCACCCCATGGGACACCAACACCCAAGCCTGGTCTGGGAAGATGGTTTTCCCAAAGCTACCCAATGCCTACTATTGAATTTAGGATTGGGATACTCTGCACTTCCTCACTTGCTCCCATCTAAACTGTGCTTTGGCGCACTCAGTAACCAAATGGAACCTTGAACAGTGGCACACCGCCCACTTCCCTTAACATTTCAGTCATAATTCTGGAAGGGAAACAGTTAATAGAAATATTCCAAGCACACTAGGACCCTGCATTCAGCACCTACGCCATATGTATGAGATTATAAGGCCAGTTTAGATGGAAATTGCCCAGTTGTCAGAGGCTACACATTATTTTTAATTTGTGCTTAGGATATGAAGTACCCTCATTGAATTTGAAGCATGGACAATGATTATACTGTCAGCTTAATCAGTCTATTTGTGCTATATAGTGCCCCGAATTGCTACTGGCCTGCAGATAATCAGTTTTCAAAAGTAGCATTCATCCCCAGCAACAAATCTTAATATATGTTTCCTTGCTTTTGGTTCCATTACCAGAGGCCAGCTATCACCCATTCCTCATTGTGAACGATATGAAATGTTGGGCAGAATGTATCTGCCGCATAGGTTAAGGCTTTTTCCTCCTTATCATGTGTATGACATGAAAAGCTATGGTGGTGGGTGAAAGCACTCCAGTATCACTGGGCAGACTTCTCAGACATTTTTATCTTGTCCAAAATCCAGGCAAATTAAACAGTCAAGAGAGTTAGGAGAGGCACATGTGGAGAGGAAGGAGACCAGACAGCCTCTCCAGCCTTCCAATCTCCCTTTGTCTCTACACCCATGCACACCCCTCCCCATTTCATTATCTTTGATAGATGAGAGGCTTCAGGCTTTAAGTATCATCTGTCAGAGCTCCATCCCTCATCCTCTCTTGCCTGAGTGGGTGTTGAGAATGGGGAAAATATCCATCTGTGTCATGAACCATTCTAAACTTCTTGAGAACTCAGATTCAGCTGCTATTATAGGCACAATTAGAATTAGTGTCTCTGAGACCAAAGGAAACTCCAACCCCATTAGCTAGTCCACAAGAACTTTGCAAGAAGAAACCGAGTTACTGCTTGATCTTGAACATATCGCTTTTGTAGAAAGAGGTCCAAGCAACCACTTCCCCACCTCATCACTTATCAATCCAGCTTCGATTCCTACTTGGCTAACCTACTTTGCTAATTTGGTCCAGTCTTATAATACCCCCATGCCCCAGGTCCATCTTGAAAATGGAGTTTCGACCCCTAGACTTGTGTAAGTGACTGACGCAGGCAAGTGTTACACCCTTTATAAAGTTCTGTGGAGTCCTCCTATTCTGTGTACTCAAAATGCCAGCTATAAAAGAAAACCACACAACAGCAACGACCAAACACAAATCATTTTTAATCAAGCAATTCTTCTAGAAAATTTTCCTTGAGGGCCTAGTTGGACAGGGTGCAAAGCTTACATACAAAGGTGCTCATTGCAGTGTTGTTAATATAATTGAAAAACAAAATTAACTGAGCTGCCCACAAATACTGTGTTTGTTAGTCACATTGCTACCTATGATGGAATACTGTGCAGCCATTTTAAAAACTGGTGTTGGCACAATTCATTGCTATGGGAGGATATTCATAATATTTTAATGATGCAAAAGCAGCCTTAAAAACAACTTGTGATATGAAAACAATGCATACATGAATAGAAACAAATCCTAGAAAGTACACCTAACGCTGGATATTGGTGGTCTCTGGATATTATAATTAGAGTGACTTTTTTTTTTACCTTTTCTACATTTTCTTCACATTAAAAAATATGACATGTATTAACCAGAAAAATATTAAGTTACTTGCATTTTGAAAACAATAAATGAACATCTAATATGTCTTCTAAATTTTTCCTTCCTAGATATTGACATGCCTCCAAATCAGTGGCGTTTCTCTTCTCAGTGGACAAAGCCAGAGCCAGAAACATCTTTTGTAGATGATGCCACCAGCTACGGCATGAACGGGTTTGATCCCATGTCTATGGATCAGTATTCAATGTCCCTGACTGGGAGCCCCTCTGTTCAGCCTGAGGAGCTGTGGCATTTCTCCTCCCCAGAGAGCCCCAGTTCCTCAGAGCCTGACTATGCTCATGCCTTCTCTGCTGGGCACCTGATTCCAGAGACCCCGCCTGATGAGAAATATGAGTCTCTCCTGACTCTCCTCCAGCAAGATAGATGTGTAGCCCAGCCTCAGCAATCTGCCATGTGGGAGGATTGCAGCTCTGCCCAGATAGCCGGAAGCTCGGAATTGCCCTTCAACCTGCCTTCCAGCTCGGCCCACTGTAAGAAAGTGCCTCCAGATATTTGGAGGCTTATCCCTGTTTGGTTGGGGTTGAGAGTGAGTTGGCATAAGATTGGGTATCAAGACTAATTGCTGCCACTCCGGACATGGGGCTTCTGAGGGACAGAATGTTCTGCATAAATGTTCCATATATCTTCACTAGGCTTCATTGACATTAACATTCTAATGACTAAAGGGTCATATAGAGAGCCAGCCAGATGAACTTGGCCAGGAATATTCACCAAGTCTGTTGACTTGGACTTATTCTAGAAAAATGATGTGTTACTGCCTAAAATTGTAGGGTCTGCATTCACCCTGCATTCACCTCACTGTGAGCCACCAAATAATCCATTTGTAAAACCAAGAATTCTGGCATACCTACCAACTCAAACTCTATCCTCCAAACAGGTTGGCAACTTGCAATGATGCCAGGCTTCTGGGCAAAAACAACAGCAATCTATACCAGCCATCTGCTCTACACAGTAAAATTCAAAATGACTGTAGAGGCAGCCCCATTGCTGCCTAGAGACCATCACAGTGCCTGGCTGCTTGTGGCTTGCGCTTGCACACTGAGGTCCTCCTGCTTGTTTTCCTTGGGGTTCCTGTTCCCTGACCATCACCCCTCCCCTTGAACTAAAACACTCCTTAATTCACTCACTCAACAAACATTTAATTAGTGCCTCCCAGATGCAAAATACCCATCAAAAACAAAACAAAACAATACTCCCTTCTTTGTAAAAGAATAGGAAAGAATTGGCCTGAGGTATACTTAAAGCAAAAGAGCAAACCACTCTGCTACAAGATTTGCCTTTCGTATGAAATGTTGGTAATAATATATATTTTATAGTTTGATTGGGCCAAGTCTGAGTCCTCTGGCATTCTCTACTCTGGGTGAATTTTCTTTTATAGCTCCCTAGTCCATATATATCTGTGGTTCTAGTATCCCGTGCCTGAAAGAAATTGCTAGAAATTGCCTTTAAACTAAGTATATAGTACACAAAGGGCCTGTTCAGCATAACCTCTCTATGTCTGGTACTGTGTTCCATCCTAATGCAGAAAACAAATTTCTCATTAAAATACCACTCCATCATTTCCAGAGTTTGATTAAGAATATATTTAAAAGGAGTAAATAATAAAAATGTAATGCTTGGGAAACCTATGAAAATTCCCACCCCTGTACTCTTTTTCAAAAATCTGCTCCTATTAGATTCAGAGGGAAAATTAGGCCAACTGTGTTTGTATATATGCCTTGTGCATACACAGCAGAGCCTTGTTCAACAGTTAGAACACAGATGGTTCAAATTATCACCTCCCAAACATAACTGTATATAGTTCAAATCCAATTAAGCAAATATTTAGTGAGCTTATACTATGACAGGTACATCACAGTGAAACTATAATGCAGACATCCTAGTCTCCAAACTCTGTAGACATATACTCGAACAAATGTTTATCACTAAACTCTCAACTGCTACAAACTCTTCACACTCCACTACTAATGTTGACATTAGTCATATTAATCAGTGACTGATGGTTCAGGATCTGTTCAGGAAGTTAGTGACCCTTAATCAGGAATGCAGCCTGTAAGATAGGAATGAGACCTAGGTTGCCAGAAGCTTCTCTTATTTTTGTAGCATCTTAGAGAAAATATACCAAGTGTCCACAAACTGAGGAGCAGGTGATTTGGAGGCCCCTGAGTTGCTACTGGGCACTTTTTAACCCTGCCTTCGAGATATCATTTCTAATCATGTTTCTTTTCTAGGTAAGAAAATATATTTCCCCTCAGATCATGAACTTGCCAGTGCCAGCCTTGCAAGTGAAAGTAAGTATCTGGTTCTGCTTTTGATAGCATGTCTCCGTATCCTAGGAACAAACTTGGAGAGCAGCTTGTAGCATAAAAACCAAGATCTCCAGTAGCTGAAAAGACCCTCATTTCTTTTATTTAATATTTTAATAGTTATAATTTGTTCTTAATCTCAAACAGCCCACGTACTTATTATTTTATAAAATGTCTTGACAATTTTCTTGTTTTGCCATAAAAGCAACCCTATTGATTTTTTTCAGAGGTGACTCAGAAAAATGAACAAATTCATGAGGATTAGCTTGCTCTGTCCCAGATGTCCAGTTTTCAGCTTAGAACGTATGGCCGCTCCAGGACTCTACAGTCAGGGAAAGTGCCACCGAAGTCCAAAGGCCAGGACCGTTGGCTCCACACTCAATTTGAAAGTGGTGTTAGTAGGAACTTTCAAATGAAGACAATTTGAGGGGAATGAAATGAAGCTCTTCATGGGTTTGAATGCAGCATCATTACTTTACTAGCTTCAGGAACTTGGTCCCGTTTCATAATATCTCCATAATTCAATTGACTCCTTTGTAAAACAAAGATGAAAATCCTAATGTAAATTAGCCAGATTAAACCATGAAAAGTAAACCACTGAATGCACACGATAAGCCTGCTACATAGTAAACCATCAAAAACTGCCTTTTTTGAGGGCATCCTGTGGGCCTCAAGCTGTGTTCCATGTTGTATGTTTGAGAAGAACAGAAGGAACAGCTGCCACCATAGTCCCTGATCTCAGGCACTTACGGGGGAGCCAATATATAGAGCTCAGTAGAATGGCAGTTCCTTGAGGACCAAGACTGAGGGGTGTGCCTCCACATCCCCAGCACCTGTGACAGTGCCCAGCATAGAGGTCAATACATATTTTATGAATGAGTGAATGCTGGAAACAATAAAAACATTGATAAAGGAAATGGTGCAAATATATCTGCCAATGTAGTGTAAATTATTTTGTTTAAAGCCCTGTGTAAGACAAACAAGGCAAAAACCACCCTCAGTGATTAATTGGCTATGCCCAAGTGAGGAGATAGATTTAGGGCTGGTTCAAGAACCTTAGCATGGCTGAGTCAGGCTTCATCTCAGACTCTGCCCAAGGGAGTGAGCTCTGCCAGCCTCTAATGAAAGTCAGGATTATAAAGTCTCCTAAATACCTGTTAATAGTTTATACATTTTTTTTTAAATTGTAAGCCTTAGAATTACTTAATACTTGAGGCTTTAAATTGTTCATAGACGAAAAATAACAGCAACAACACCATGTATGGGTGGTGACTGTGAGCCAGATACCCCACACAACATCCAGCTCAGTTCCCACAATGACCTTGTGATATGTGTATGAGTTTATCCTAAGTGCCTTACACATTAGGTATTCGGTAAATAGAGATTGAATGAATGAATAAATATCCCCACTTTACAGATGAGACTGAGTCTAAAACAGATGAAAGGACTTTCCTTAAGATCACATAGCAAACGGTAGAGATATCTCTGTTTACAGTGTCATAAAATCAAAATAATAACTTACAATAAACATAAATCATCAAGAATAATTCCAATTTAAATCAAGTGTACAACAGTGAAAATTAGCAACTGGCAAAATGGGTTCACTGTCTGTGGCCACGACGCTATCCTAGAATAAGGGGAAAGGAATGCAGAAGGCTTGAAAAAAATACAAAGGAGCAATATTACCTTGGGAAAGAGGCAGGGGATGACCTTTCCATGGTCCATGTGGAGAGTAGTTAAGGGGAGGTGGCTATCCTGTCACCGTGGCTCTGGGTAGAGGAAGGCGGCACAGCATAGGGACTAGAAAGGGTAACTTCCTAGGCTCTGGAAAGGACCAGGAAACCCAGCAAAGCCCATGCTTTTAAGCTGATATTTCAGTCTCACCTTATGGTGAGAACCACAGGGGTATCTTGTGAAGTGCACAGACCCTGAGCCCTCATTTCCTGGTTCTGTAGATTTGGCATGGGGCTCAGTTGCTCCTTCATATGTTTGATCCTTTATATATTTCACATTAACCTGATTTCAAAGTGAACTGGATAAACCTTTTGGTAAGAATTTTGGTAGTTCTGAAAGATTTCCCGTGTGAGGCTTCAGATAAATATTTGTCAAAGGAAGAAGCTCAGTCCCCTGCCCCTTCAATATGTCCTAGTCCCCTCATGCGGGCTGTCAGGTACCTATGAGACAGTGACCATGTGGAGCAGAAGAGTGATCAGCCAGAAGGGTAATCAAGAGACCTTTCTGGAGGTGAGTCCCAAAAACTTTGATGCCAAAATTTTTAGTGAATTTAATATTTTTTTAGTCTGTATAAATAGATACTGGTTGTGCACTGGTTCAATGTCTAGACAGTATATATATCTGTCTTGGTCCCTGCCCTCAAAGAGTTAATAGCCTAGTAGGGAAGGCAGAAACCCTTCTTCCTCCAAAAAAAGTAGAAAACAATATTTGCAAGTTATGATCAGTACTGTGAAGGAAATATACAAGGTGTTGAAATAGAGAAAGACAGAGGCCAACTCTGGATAAGTTGGTCAAAGAAAGCTCAGAGGAAGTGGTGTGTGAGCAGGGACCTGAATGAAGTGAGGGAGCCAGCTTTAGGAAGAGTTGGGGTAAAGATGGAGGAAGGTGGAGGAAGCCACTCCTGCAAAGACCCAGAGTGTAGTGAGAAAGGGAGAGTGGCACGAAACCAGGCTGGAGAGGTAGACAGGGGCCAGATGACATGTTGGGAGTTTGAGATTTAGATTCTAAGTGACTTGGTGAGCTCTGGTACGCCTTTATTAAATCTAATGTGCACTTGATAACATCATATAACCTATTGTAGACAAGATAGGTTGAAGAAAGGCAAGAATGAAAACAAAAAGACCAGTTAAGAGGCAAGAAATATGAGAAAATGGTAGCTTGAACTAGGTAGCAGCAGTGGAGACAGAAGTAGAGGTATTTGATATCTATTTGGTAAGGTTTAGCTCTTAGGATTTGCTAATACCCTGGATGGGAATGGTGAGGAAAAGGAAAGAATCCATGCTAGCTCTTAGGTTTCCTGCTTGAGCAACTGGATAGATAGTGATACATGTATTAAAATGAGGATGATTGTAGGAGACACAACTCTGTTGTCATATTAAGTCTGAGGTGCCTATAAGACATCCAAGAGGATATATCTTTTAAAGAGTTGTATATGTAAGTGTGGAGTCCAAAAGGGAAGACTGGGTAAACTTGAGATTGATCACTGTTTAAAGGACATTTAAAGCAATTACATGATCTCCTAAACAGAGGGTGTAGACAGAGAAGAAAGAAAGGCAGATCACAGAATCCTGGAATGTGGCTATATTTATTTAGAGGTTGGGGACATGAAGAACCAACAGGATACAGAGGAGGAATAGTCAGTGAGGCAGGAGGAGAACCAGGTGAGTGTGATGTTACAGAAACTGAGGAGAATGTTTCAAAACAGGGAGTGATCAACTGTGTCAAAGGCTTCTGAGAGATCAAATAAGAGGACAGAGGAATTTATTGGATGGAGCAAGATCAGCTGACAGTGAAAATGTGGGATGTTGAAAAGAGTAGAAAAGTATGACAAAGTCTTCTTTGGTATTGGGAAAGCAAGCTTGCTTATAGAAAACATGAGCAGGATTTCTGAGTGCTGATCTCAAGTCTGAGATCATGTTTCAAATTGAAGCAGTCATCTGGGTTGTGTGATTTTCATCAATGCTGGTAGGTTAGTGTAATGCTCAAATAAGGCAAATGGTGAGGCTCAGGCAGGGTTAAGATTTTGGCAAGTGAGCATGAACGAAGAAAGAGAAAAAAGAGTTTAGGGTATTTGCAAGTGAGTGATTACCATAAGTTACCATGGTCTCTAAACTGTACAAAGAAGGAACTGGAGAAAGATGGAAGATGATGGATATTGGAGGCCGATATAGGATTAGGTTATGTTAAAATGTACTAATAAGACTACTTAAGCCAATGACATGGGAAGTGATAGTTGGAGAACAGATGTTTGAAATTGAGATGACAAGAGTGCCACCTGTGTAGGTGATGACAAAATCTAGCATGTGACCATGAGAATGTTTGGCTGAGGTAGATTGAAGTAAAAGGTCATTAAAAATGAGGAGAATGACAAGAATCATGAAGTAAAGCAAAATAACAAGGCTGAGGTAGAGTGAAGTAAAAGGTCATTAGAAATGAGGAGAATGACAAGAATCACAAAGTCAAGCAAAATAACAACCACTATCTATCTGCAACACAGGTGCTCTTTTTATCTTTATTTACAGATAGGAGAATTGAGGCTTAGGGAGATTAAGTAACTTGCCCAAAGCAAAGGTGATTAAATGCCAGAGTCAATTTTTTTCTGACTTCAAAGTCCTTGATTTTCCCCTCTAAACTGAGCTTCATCATGGCCGCACAATAATTCCACTCTACTATAAATAATGACGCTATCTCTTTGACAAAATAATAGCTAACATTTATTGAGCACATATGTGCCATGCACTGTTCTAAGGGCTTTACAAGTAGTTAACCCACTTAATCCTTACCAGAATTTTACGAAGCAGGTATCATTAGTAGCCCTATTTGACAGATGAGGAAAGTGGGGCTCAGATAAGCTAGATGTCTAGCTCAAGGTCGTACGGATAGGCAGTGATAAGGTCAGGGTACAAACCTGGGCTCTTTTAACCCCAGACTCAACTTCTTCCTCATCACACTTATTCTGTTTTTCAGATGGTGAGTCTCCAGAAAGAAGAAAAGATCTGTTCTTTTACTGAACTTCGGTTTGAAAAAGAGAATTTCTTTTCCCAAACCTGCTCATGATTTTGTACTATGAATCTAGAGGGTTTGGAGACATCACTGTCTTTTTCTCTTTTTTGCCACTAAAGAACACTAAGTCAGGAGCAAGTTTTTGTTTTCCCTAAAATTGTACTCTTCTCTTCCTTGGCACCTATGCTCTATGGCAGGGATTTTCAATCTTGTTAAGTGAAATCCCAACATATAAAATCATTAGAAAAGCTGTTTAGATGTAGGCAGTATAGAGACCCACCTGCTTGTTCATCCCACCCTGCCACTGCACTCGCTGCTCTCTTACTTAGAAATCATAGTCCCCTTACCCTCCACCAGCAGGGTCCTTTGAACCAAGACTGACTGTGAAGTATCCTATGGGGTTGTCCCACTTTTCCAATGGAATAGAGATACCAGGACCAACATGAAGCTTTCCATCCTTAACTAGACTGTGACCAAGCTTCACTTCTACCTCTACCAAAATCAGTGAAAATGGGGTGGGCAAGATCTATTGAGAATGGGTTGAGGCTGAGCTTTCCCTGCATACTCAAAGTTTCGAAGCAAGCTGAAAAGGCCTCAGACTGGCCCTGATGAAATACTTTTGCTGGGAAAATTTGATTCTTTAATTCTAAAAATAAGTAATTCCAACTGGAATTGCTGAGAAATCTGAGA